TCAACCCAAACATCCCAAAATTCCCATTTTTTGCCCCAATTTTCCCAAAATTCCCGATTTTTTCCCCAATTTTCCCGAATTTTGGGGAATTTTCCCCGATTTCCTCACGTGGGGGGAGGGGCAGCTCCAGCTCCGGGGCCTCCTCTGGGGAGAGACAAAAAATCACCAAAAACACCCAAAATCACCCCAAAATCAGCCAAAATCACCCAAAATCACCCCAAAATCACCCAAAATCACCCAAAATCACCCAAAATTCACCAAAAATCAGCCAAAATTCACCAAAAATCAGCCAAAATGACCCAAAATGACCCAAAATCACCCAAAATTACCCAAAATTCACCCAAAATTCAACAAAATCACCCAAAATGACCCAAAATGACCCAAAATGACCCAAAATTCACCAAAATTCACCCAAAATCCACCAAAATCAGCGAAAATTCACCCGAAATCACCCAAAATCCACCCAAAATCAACCAAAATCACCCAAAATCACCCAAAATCAGCCAAAATCACCCAAAATTCACCAAAATTCACCAAAATTCACCCAAAATCACCCAAAATCAGCCAAAATTCACCCAAAATCACCCAAAATGACCCAAAATCACCCAAAATTCACCAAAATCAGCCAAAATCCACCCAAAATCACCCAAAATGACCCAAAATCACCCAAAATTCACCAAAATCAGCCAAAATCCACCCAAAATCACCCAAAATCACCCAAAATCCACCCAAAATCACCCAAAATCAGCCAAAATCACCCAAAATCACCCAAAATCACCCAAAATCCACCCAAAATCACCCAAAATCACCAAAATTCAGCCAAAATCACCCAAAATCACCCAAAATCAACCAAAATCACCAAAAATTGACCCAAAATCACCCAAAATCACCCAAAATCACCCAAAATCACCCAAAATTCACCCAAAATCACCCAAAATGAACCAAAATCACCCAAAATCACCCAAAATCCACCCAAAATCACCCAAAATTCACCAAAATTCACCCAAAATCACCCAAAATCACCCAAAATTGACCCAAAATCACCCAAAATCCACCCAAAATCACCCAAAAAAATCCCCAAAAAATCCCAAAAAAATCCAAAAAAATTCACAAAAAATTCCCAAAAAATCCCAAAATTCCAAAATTCCCCAAAAAATCCCAAAATGTTCCAAAATTCCCGAAATTTTCCCCAAAAATTCACCCAAAAATCCCCAAAAAAAGCCCCAAAAATTCCAAAAAAATCACAAAAAAAATTCCCAAAAAATTCCCAAAAAATTCCCAAAAATTCACAAAAAATTCAAAAATTCAAAAATTCTCAAAAAAATCCCAAAATGTTCCAAAATTCCCGAAATTTTCCCCAAAAATTCACAAAAAAATACAAAAAAAAACGCTCAAAAAAGCCCCAAAAATTCACAAAAAAAATCACAAAAAAATCCATAAAAAATCCCAAAAAATTCCCAAAAATTCCCAAAACTCCCAGGAAAATCCCAAAAAATCCCAAAATTCCAAAATTAAAAGAAAAAATCCCAAAATGTTCCAAAATTCCCGAGATTTTCACCGAAAATTCACCCAAAAATCCCCCAAAAAAAGGCTCAAAAAAGCCCCAAAAATTCACAAAAATCACAAATAAATCCAAAAAAATCCCAAAAAATTCCCAAAAATTCCCAGAATTCCCAAATTTCCCAAATTCCCCCAAATTTGACAAAAACTTGAAAAAAACTCACAAAAAAGGGAAAAAAACCCCAAAAAATCACAAAAAAATTCAAAAAAAATCCAAAAAAAATCCCCAAAAATTCCAAAAAAATTCCCAAAAATTCCCAAAAATTCCAAAAATTCTCAAATTTCCCAAATTCCCCCAAATTCGACAAAAATTCATAAAAAAAAATTACAAAAAAGGGGGGAAAAAAATCCCAAAAAATGCTTAAAAAAATCGAAAAAAAATCCAAAAAAATCCCAAAAAAATTCCCCAAAAAAATCAAAAAAAATTTCCAAAAAATTCCAAAAATTCCCAGAATTCCCAAAATTCTCCAGATTTCCCCAAATTGGACAAAAAATCCACAAAATAAACACAAAAAAAGGGAAAAAAATTCCAAAAAAATAAAAAAAAAATCCAAAAAAAAATCCAAAAAAATTCGAAAAAAAATCGAAAAAAAATGCTAAAAAATCCCAAAAAATTCCCCAAAAAATTCCCAAAAATTCCCAGAATTCCCAAATTTTCCAAATTCCCCCAAATTTGACAAAAACTTGAAAAAAACTCACAAAAAAGGGAAAAAAGACCCCAAAAAACCACAAAAAAATTCAAAAAAAATCCAAAAAAAAATCCCAAAAAATCCCCAAAAAATTCCCCAAAATTCCCAAAAATTCCAAAAATTCCCAAATTTCCCAAATTTCCCCAAATTCGACAAAAACTTGAAAAAAACTCACAAAAACGGGGAAAAAAACCCAAAAAAATTTTAAAAAAAATAAAATAAAAAAAAAAAAATTAAAAATAAATTCCCAAAAAAAATAAAAAAAAAATTCCAAAAAATTCCCAAAAATTCCAAAAATTCCCAAATTTCCCAAATTCCCCCAAATTTGACAAAAACTCATAAAAAAAATCAAAAAAAGGGGGAAAAAAACCCCAAAAAATCCCCAAAAAAATACAAAAAAAATCCAAAAAAATCCCAAAAAAATTCCCCCAAAAAATCCAAAAAATTCCCAAAAATTCCCAGAATTCCCAAATTTTCCAGATTCCCCCAAATTTGACAAAAAAATCCACAAAAAAACCACAAAAAAAGGGAAAAAAATTCAAAAAAATCCAAAAAAAAACCTCAAAAAATACAAAAAAAAATCGAAAAAAAATCGAAAAAAAATGCAAAAAAATTCCCAAAAATTCCCAAAATTCAAAGTTCCAAAAAAAATCCCAAAATGTTCCAAAATTCCCGAAATTTTCCCCCAAAATTCACCCAAAATCCCCTAAAAAAAGCTCAAAAAAGCCACAAAAATTCACAAAAATTCCCAAAAAATTCCCCCAAAAATTCCCAAAAAAATCCCAAAAAATTCCAAAAAAATTCCCAAAAATTCCCAGAATTCCCAAATTTCCCAAATTCCCCCAAATTTGACAAAAACTTGAAAAAAACTCACAAAAAAGGGAAAAAAAAACCCAAAAAACCACAAAAAATTTCAAAAAAAAATCCAAAAAAAATCGAAAAAAATTCCCAAAAAATTCCCAAAATTTCCCAGAATTCCCAAAATTCCCAAATTTCCCCAAACTCAACAAAAATTTGACAAAAACTCTCAAAAAAGGGGAAAAAAAATTCCAAAAAAATCCCCAAAAAATAAAAAAAAATTCGAAAAAATTCTAAAAAAAATACAAAAAAATAAAAAAAAATCAAAAAAAATTTCCAAAAATTCCCAGAATTCCCAAATTTCCCAAATTCCCCCAAATTCGACAAAAACTCATAAAAAAATTGCAAAAAAGGGGGAAAAAATCCCAAAAAATGCTTAAAAAAACCGAAAAAAAATCCAAAAAAAATCCCCAAAAAATTCCCAAAAAATTCCCAAAAATTCCCAGAATTCCAGAATTTCCCAAATTTCCCCAAATTGGACAAAAAATCCACAAAAAACTCACAAAAAAGGGAAAAAAAATCCCAAAAAACCACAAAAAAATTCAAAAAAAATCCAAAAAAAATCACAAAAAATTCCAAAAAAATTCCCAAAAATTCCCAAAATTTCCCAGAATTCCCAAAATTCCCAAATTTCCCCAAACTCAACAAAAACTTGACAAAAACTCTCAAAAAAGGGGAAAAAAATTCCAAAAAAATCCCCAGAAAATAAAAAAAAAATCAAAAAAATTCTAAAAAAATACAAAAAAATAAAAAAAATCAAAAAAAATTTCCAAAAATTCTGAAAATTCCCAAATTTCCCAAATTCCCCCAAATTTGACAAAAATTCATAAAAAAAAATTACAAATAAAGGGGGGAAAAAAATCCCAAAAAATGCAAAAATTCGAAAAAAAATCCAAAAAAATCCCAGAAAAATTCCCTAAAAAAATCCAAAAAATTCCCAAAAAATTCCAAAAATTCCCAGAATTCCCAAATTCCCCAAATTTCCCCAAATTGGACAAAAAAATCCACAAAAAAGACACAAAAAAAGGGAAAAAAATTCCAAAAAATCCCAAAAAAACCCCTCAAAAAAATTCAAAAAAAATCGAAAAAAAATCACAAAAAATTCCAAAAAATTCCCAAAATTTCCCAGAATTCCCAGAATTCCCAAATTTTCCAGATTCCCCCAAATTTGACAAAAAAATCCACAAAAAAACCACAAAAAAAGGGAAAAAAATTCCAAAAAATCCCAAAAAAAACCCTCAAAAAATTCAAAAAAAATCGAAAAAAAATCGAAAAAAAATCCCAAAAAATTCCCAAAAATTCCCAAAATTCAAAGTTCCAAAAAAAATCCCAAAATGTTCCAAAATTCCCGAAATTTTCCCCCAAAATTCCCCCAAAATCCCCTAAAAAAAGCTCAAAAAAGCCCCAAAAATTCACAAAAATTCACAAAAAATTCCCCAAAAAATTCCCCAAAAAATCACAAAAAATTCCAAAAAAATTCCCAAAAATTCCCAGAATTCCAGAATTTCCCAAATTGGACAAAAATTCATAAAAAAATTACAAAAAAGGGAAAAAAAATAAAAAAAAAACTCCAAAAAATTCTAAAAAAAATCCCCCAAAAATCCAAAAAAATTCCCAAAAAATTCCCAAAAATTCCCCGAAAATCCCAAAACTTCTCAGAATTCCCAAATTTCCCAAATTCCCCCAAATTTGACAAAAATTCATAAAAAAAATCACAAAAAAGGGGGAAAAACCCAAAAAAATTCAAAAAAAATTCAAAAAAAATCCCCAAAAAATCGAAAAAAATCCCAAAAAAATCCCAAAAATTCCCAAAATTTCCCAGAATTCCCAGAATTCCCAGAATTCCCGAATTTTCCCCTGGAATTCCCGAATTTCCCCTGGAATTCCCGTTACCTTCGGCCTCCAGCAGCAGCTGCAGCTCCCTCGGGGTCACCTCGGGCAGCTCCTCCTGCCCAAAATGAACCAAAAATGCTCAAAATTCACCCAAAATGGGATGGGGAAAATGCAAATTATTCCTCAAAAAAATTCCCAGAAATTCCCCAAAAAACCCCAAAAAATCCCAGAAAAATTCCCAAAAAATTCCCAAAAATTCCCAAAAAATTCCAAAAAAATTCCTAAAAAAATCCCTAAAAATTCCTTAAAAAATGCCGAAAAATTCCCAAAAAATTCCCCAAGAAATCCCAAAAAAACTCCAAAAAATCCCCAAAAAATTCCAACAAAAATCCCCAAAAATTCCCAAAAAAATCCCCAAAAAATCCCCCCAAAAAATCCCAAAAAAATCCAAAAAAATTCCTTAAAAAATGCCAAAAAATCCCCAAAAATTCCCCAAAAAATTCCGAAAAAAATCCCAAAAAAACCCCAAAAAAATCCCCAAAAATTCCTAAAAAAAATCCCAAAAAATTCCTTAAAAAACCCAAAAAAATCCCAAAAAATTCCCAAAAAAATCCCAAAAAAATCCCCAAAAAATCCCCAAAAATCCCCAAAAATTCCCAAAAAAATCCCAAAAAATTCCCAAAAAAATCCCAAAAAATTCCCGAAAAAATTCCCAGAAATTCCCAAAAAATCTCCAAAAAACGCCAAAAAATTCCACAAAAAATCCCAAAATTCCTTAAAAAATGCCAAAAAATCCCCAAAAATTCCCCAAAAAATTCCCAGAAAATCCCAAAAAATTCCCAAAAAAACCCCAAAAAAACCCCAAAAATTCCCAAAAAAATCCCAAAAAATTCCCCAAAAAATCCCCAAAAAATTCCGAAAAAACTCCAAAAAAAATCCACAAAAATTCCAACAAAAATCCCCAAAAATTCCCCAAAAAAATCCCCAAAAAATCCCAAAAAATTTCTAAAAAAATCCCAAAAATTCCCCAAAAAATCCCCAAAAAATTCCTAAAAAATTCCCAAAAAAATCCCAAAAAATTCCATAAAAAATGCCAAAAAATCCCAAAAAATTCCCCAAAAAATTCCAAAAAAAATCCCAAAAAATTCCCCAAAAATCAAAAAAAATTCCAAAAAAAATCCCAAAAAATTCCCAAAAAAACCCCAAAAAATCCCCAAAAATTCCCCAAAAAATCCCCAAAAAAATCCCCAAAAAATCCCCAAAAAATCCCCAAAAAATCCAAAAAAATTTCTTAAAAAATCCCAAAAATTCCCCAAAAAATCCCCAAAAAATTCCTAAAAAATCCCCAAAAAAATCCCAAAAAATCCCAAAAAATTCCAAAAAAAATCCCAAAAAATTCCTTAAAAAATGCCAAAAAAATCCCCAAAAAATCCTAAAAAATTCCCAAAAAATTCCCAAAAAAATCCCAAAAAATCCCCAAAAAATCCCCAAAATTCCCCAAAAAATTCCCCCAAAATTCCCCCAAAAATTCCAGAATTTTCTCTCTCACCTCGGGCGGCTCCGGGGGGGGGAGGGGCGGCTCCGGCTCCCTCAGCGTGATCGACTCCGGAGACGCCACCAGCGGCACCTCTGGGAACGTTCCGGAACGTTCCGGAATTCCAGGAGAGTTCCAGGGATTTGGGGAGAATTTGGGGAATTTTGGGATTTTTTGGGGGATTTTTTGGGATTTTTTGGGGATTTTTTTGGGATTTTTTTGGAATTTTTGGGATTTTTTGGGATTTTTTGGGGATTTTTTGGGGAATTTTTGGGGATTTTTTGGGGAATTTTTGGGGAATTTTTGGGATTTTTTGGGGATTTTTTGGGGATTTTTTGGGTTTTTTTTGGGGATTTTTTGGGAATTTTTTGGGGATTTTTTGGGGAATTTTTGGGGATTTTTTGGGGATTTTTTGGGGATTTTTTTGGGAATTTTTGGGGGAATTTTGGGGATTTTTTGGGGATTTTTTTGGGGAATTTTTGGGGATTTTTTTTGGATTTTTTGGGGATTTTTTGGGAATTTTTGGGGATTTTTTGGGATTTTTTGGGGATTTTTTGGGGAATTTTTGGGAATTTTTTGGGGAATTTTTGGGGAATTTTTGGGGAATTTTTGGGAATTTTTGGGAATTTTTGGGGATTTTTGGGGGAATTTTTGGGGATTTTTTTGGGAATTTTTGGGATTTTTTTTTTAATTTTTGGGGGGATTTTTTTAAGGATTTTTTGGGGATTTTTTGCAAATTTTTTTGGAATTTTTTGGAATTTTGGGGATTTTTTTTGATATTTTGGGATTTTTTGGGGATTTTTTGGAGATTTTTTGGGAATTTTTGGGAATTTTGGGAATTTTGGGTGAAATTTTGGGAATTTTTGGGGGTTTTTTGGGATTTTTTGGGGAATTTTGGGTGGAATTTTGAGAATTTTGGGAATTTTGGGTGAAATTTTGGGAATTTTGGGAATTTTTGGGTGAAATTTTGGGAATTTTGGGAATTTTGGGGTCAGACCTGGGGGCTCCTCCGGGGGCAGCAGCTCCTGGACCTGGAACGGGGCAAAAACCGGGAAAAACGGGAAAATTCCGGTGAAAAAACGGAAATTTGGGGGAAAATTGGGAATTTTGGGGAAAAATTGGGAATTTTGGGGAAAAATTTGGGAATTTTGGGGGAAATTTTGGGAATTTTGGGGGAAATTTTGGGAATTTTGGGGGAAATTTGGGAATTTTGGGGAAATTTTGGGAATTTTGGGGGAAAAATTTGGGAATTTTGGGAAAAAATTGGGAATTTTGGGGAAAAATTGGGAATTTTGGGATAAAAATTGAGGAAAAAATTGGGGAAAAATCGGGAAAAATTCAAAAAAATTGGGGAAAAATTTGGGATAAAAATGGGAAAAATTGGGAAAAAATTTGGGAAAAAAGCAAAAAAAATTGAGAAAAATAAAGAGGAAAAAATGGGGAAAAAAAAGAGAAAAATGGGAAAAAATTGGGAAAAAAATCAGGAAAAAATTGGGAAAAATTTGGGAAAAATTGGGGAAAAAATTGTGAAAAATGGAGAAAAATTTGGGGAAAAATTGGGAAAAAATCAAGGAAAAAATGGGAAAAAATTTGAGAAAAATTTGGGAAAAAACAGAAAAAAATGGGAAAAAAATGGGGAAAAATTGGGAAAAAATTGGAAAAAAAATTGGGAAAAATTGGGAAAAAATTTGAGAAAATTTTGGGAAAAATTTGGGAAAGAATTGAGAAAAAATGGGGAAAATGGGAAAAAAATTTGGGAAAAATTGGGAAAAAAATTGGGATAAAATGGGAAAAATTTGGGGAAAAAAATTGGGGGAAAATTTGGGAAAAATTTGGGAAAAATTGAGGAAAAAATGGGAAAATATGGGGAAAAAATTGGGAAAAAAAATGGGAAAAATGGGAAAAAATTGGGAAAAAAACCAGAAAAAAACCGGGAAAAAATGGGAAAAATTGGGGAAAATTTTGGGAAAGAATTGGGAAAAAATGGAGGGAAAATTGGGAAAATTTGGGAAAAAAATTGGGAAAAAATTTGGGAAAAAAATGTGAAAAATGGAGAAAAAATTGGAAAAAATTGAGAAAAAATTGGGAAAAAATGGGGAAAAATTTGGGAAAAATTTGGGAAAAAATCAGGAAAAAATGGGGAAAAAATTGGAAAAATTGAGGAAAAATGGGAAAAAATTTAGGAAAAAATTTGGAAAAAATGGGAAAAAAATGGGGGAAAATTCAGAAAAAATTGGGGAAAAATTTGGGAAAAAATGGGGAAAATTTGGGGAAAAATGGGGAAAAAATTGAGAAAAATGAGAAAAAATTGAGGAAAAAAGTGGGGAAAAAATTTGGGAAAAATGGGAAAAAATTGGGAAAAAATTGAGAAAAAATTGGGGAAAAATGGGGAAAAAATGGGGAAAAAATTGAGGAAAAAAATGGGGAAAAAATGTGAAAAATGGAGAAAAATTTGGGGAAAAATTTGGGAAAAATGGGAAAAAAATGGGAAAAAATTCAGGAAAAATTTGGGAAAAATTTGGGAAAAATTTGGGAAAAATTGGGAAAAAATTGGAAAAAATTGAGGAAAAATTTGGGAAAAATTGGGGGAAAAATGGAAAAAAATTGGGAAAATTTGGGAAAAATTCAAGAAAAAACGGGGGAAAAAATGGGAAAAAATTGGGGAAAAAATGGGAAAAAATTGGAAAAAATTGGGGAAAAATTGAGAAAAATTTGGGGGAAAATTGAGGAAAAAATGGGGAAAAATTGGGAAAAAATTGAAAAAAATTGAGGAAAAATTTGGGAAAAAAACCGGAAAAAATTTGGGAAAAATGGGGAAAAATTGGGGAAAAAATGGGAAAAAAATGGGGAAAAATTTGGGAAATATTTGGGAAAAAATGGGGAAAAATGGAGAAAAATTTTGGGGAAAAATTGGAAAAAATTGGGAAAAAATTGAGAAAAATTTGGGGGAAAATTGGGGGAAAAAATGGGAAAAAAATGGGAAAAAATTGAGAAAAAATGGGGAAAAATGGGAAAAAATTTGGGAAAAATTTGGGAAAAATTTGGGCAAAAATTGAGAAAAAATTGGGAAAAATTTGGGAAAAATTTGGGAAAAAATGGGAAAAAAATGGGAAAAAATTGAGGGAAAAATTGGGTAAAATTTGGTAAATTTTTGTTATTTTTGGGGGTGTTGGGAATGGTGGGATTTGGGTAATTTTGGGCTGATTTTGGGGATTTTGGGGAGTTTTGGGACTCACCTGGGGCAGCTCCACCCCCATGACCCCAAAAAAAGGATCCGGAGCCTCCTCGAGCTGAGCCATGAGAGAGCGGGAATCGGGGAGCAGCAGGGACCTGGAAAAATGGGGGGAAAATGGGGGAAAATGGGAAAAAACATCAGAAAATGGGGAAAAAACCTGAAAAAACGGGGAGAAAATGGGGAAAAATGGGGAAAAACCTCAAAAAATGGGGAAAAAACATCAAAAAATGGGGAAAAAATGGGAAAAAATGGGGAAAAAATGAAGGAAAATTTGGATAAAAATGGGGAAAAGTGGGGAAAAAATGGGGAAAAATTGAGAAAAATTTGGGAAAAAATTGGGGAAAAAATGGGGTAAAATTGGGGAAAAATTGGGAAAAATTGGGGAAAAATTGAGAAAAAATTTGGAAAAAAAAGGGGATAAATTTGGGAAAAATTGGGGAAAAAAACAGGAAAAAATGGGGAAAAATTGGGGAAAAATTGGGGAAAAAATTGAGAAAAAATTGGGGAAAATTGGGGAAAAATTGGAGAAAAATTGGGATAAAATTGGGGAAAAAATGGGGGAAAAATTGGGGAAAAATTGGGGAAAAATTGGGGAAAAATTGGGAAAAAATTGGGGAAAAATGGGGAAAAATTGGGGAAAAATTGGGGAAAAATTGGGGAAAAAATGGGGAAAAATTGAGAAAAAATTGAGAAGAAATGGGGAAAAATTGGGGAAAAAATTGGGAAAAAATGGGGAAAAATTGGGGGAAAATGGGGGAAAAAATGGGGGAAAAATTGGAGAAAAAATGGGAAAAAATTGGGGGAAAAATGGGGAAAAATTGGGGAAAAATTGGGGAAAAAATTGGGGAAAAATTGGGGAAAAAATGGGGAAAAATTGGGGAAAAATTTGGGAAAAAATGGGGGAAAAATGGGGAAAAATTGGGGTGAAATTGGGGTAAAAGCTGAGCCATGAGAGAGCGGGAATCGGGGAGCAGCAGGGACCTGGAAAAATGGGGTGAAAATGGGGGAAATTGGGAAAAAATGGGGGAAAAAATGGGGAAAAATTGGGGAAAAATTGGGGAAAAAATGGGGAAAATTGGGGAAAAATTGGGGAAAAATGGGGGAAAATTGGGAAAAAACCTGAAAAAAATGGGGAAAAAATTGAGGAAAAAATGGGGAAAAATTGGGGGAAAATCGGGGAAAAATGGGAAAAAAATGGGGGAAAAATTGGGGAAAAATTGGGGAAAAATTGGGGGAAAATTGGGGAAAAAATGGGGAAAATTGGGGTGAAATTGGGGTAAAAGCTGAGCCATGAGAGAGCGGGAATCAGGGAGCAGCAGGGACCTGGAAAAATGGGGTGAAAATGGGGGAAAATGGGAAAAAATGGGGGAAAAAATGGGGGAAAAATGGGGAAAAATTGGGGAAAAATTGGGGAAAAATTGGGGAAAAATTGGGGAAAAAATGGGGAAAAAATGGGGAAAAAATTGGGGATAAATTGGGAAAATTTGGGAAAAAATGGAGAAAAAATGGGGAAAAATTTGGGAAAAATTGGGGAAAAATTTGGGAAAAAATTTCGAAAAAAAAGGGGATAAATTTGGGAAAAATTGGGGAAAAAAACAGGAAAAATTGGGGAAAAATTGGGGGAAAATTGGGGAAAAAATGGGGAAAATTGGGGTGAAATTGGGGTAAAAGCTGAGCCATGAGAGAGCGGGAATCGGGGAGCAGCAGGGACCTGGAAAAATGGGGTGAAAATGGGGGAAATTGGGAAAAAATGGGGGAAAAAATGGGGAAAAATTGGGGAAAAATTGGGGAAAAAATGGGGAAAAAATGGGGAAAAATTGGGGAAAAATTGAGAAAAAATTGGGAAAAACTGGGATAAATTGGGAAAAAATTTGGAAAAAAAAGGGGATAAATTTGGGAAAAATTGGGGAAAAACAGGAAAAAATGGGGAAAAAATGGGAAAAATTTGGGAAAAAATTGAGAAAAAATTGAGAAAAAATTGGGAAAAAATTGGGAAAAAA